ATTATAATTTCTAGACAACCTCTGACCAGACGACCTTCAGTTGTTCGGGTGCCGGGCAGTTGGCAGGAGGGTGGAGGGCAGTCTGGGTGGAGGGTAGTCTGGGTGGAGGGCAGTCTGGGTGGAGGGCAGTCTGGGTGGAGGGCAGTTTGGGTGGAGGTGGAGGACAATTGGGTGTTTGGGTGGAGGACAGTTGGGAGGAGGGTGAAGGGAAGTAGGTGGAGGGAAGTAGGGAGGAGGGAAGTAGGGGGAGGGAAGTAGGGAGGGAGGGTGGAGGGAGTAGGGTGGAGGGAAGTAGGGTGGAGGGGGAGGAGGGTGGAGAGGGAAGTAGGTGGAGGTAGGGTGGAGGGTGGAGGGGGAGGTGGAGGGAGGGGAGGGAGGGGGGTGGAGGAAGGGGGAGGAGAAGGTAAGGGAGAGGGAAGTAGGGAGGAGGTGAAGGAAGTTGGAGAGGAAAGTAGGGTGGAGGGGTGAAGGAAAGGAAGGGTAGGGGAGGAGGGTGGAGGAAGTTAGGTGGGTGGAGGGTAGGAGGTGGACGAAGGGTAGTTAGGGAGAGGAGAAAGATGGACAAAGGAAAAAGGAAGTGGATTGGGCGTGGGAGGCGAAGGAAGGAGAAGCGGAACAGGAGGGTGGAGGAAGGAAGGAAGGAGGAGGAAGGAAGGAAGGAAGGAAGGAAGGAAGGAAGGAAGGAGTTGTGATAGGAAGTAGGGGATGGAGTGAGACCGGTGGTGTGGTGGTATTTGTGGTAGTGGTGTGTAATGGTAGTGGCAAAGGTGGAGAAAAGAGTAGTGGTGTAATGGGGGGGGTAGAGTGGTGTTAGCAGATGGTAGTTGTGGTGGCGGCAGTAGTAATGGTAATAGTAATAACGGCAGTGGTGTTAGTGGTGGTAGTAGTACTGTTGGCATTAGTGATGTTTATAGTAGTAGTAGTAGTAGTGGTGGTGGTGATAGCAGTAGTAGTAAATGGTGATGATGACAGTAGTAGTAATGATGTTGACGGTGGCAGAGGTTAGTAGTGATGGTGGTGGTGGCAGTAATAGTGATGGTGGCAGCAGTAGTGATGATGATGGTGGTGGTGGCAGTAATAGTGATGGTGGCAGCAGTAGTGATGGTGGCAGCAGTGATGGTGGCAGCAGTAGTGATGATGGTGGCAGCAGTAGTGATGATGATGATGGTGGCAGTAATAGTGATGGTGGCAGCAGTAGTGATGGTGGCAGCAGTAGTGATGGTGGCAGCAGTAGTATGATGATGATGGTGGTGGCAGTGATGGTGGCAGCAGTAGTGATGGTGGCAGCAGTAGTGATGGTGGCAGCAGTAGTGATGGTGGCAGCAGTAGTAGTGATGATGGTGGTGGTGGCTGTGGACAAAACACCAGTGGCCCCGGGGGAGGGATCTTGGGCTTGACTGTAACTGGCACACTTACCGCCTCTCCCCACACCACCAAGTACGGACATCCGGTGCTGCTCTCTGAAGGGGGGTGGGGAGGGGGGTGGGGGGAAGGGGGTGGGGAGGGGAGAGGTTACAATGGTACTTGGTGGTGGCGGATGGTGTTATAGGATAGTGGTTACTGGTTAGTTAGTGGTCTACAGCTGGTGATGGTAGGTGGTGGTGGTGGTGGTGATGAAAGGGTGTTAGTGGCTGGTAGGTGGTGGTGAGGGGGGGATGGTTGACACTGCTAGCGGTGATAAGAGTTACGGGAGGAAGAGGAGGAGGAGGAGAAGGAAGAGGGGGAAGATGTAGAGGAGGAGGAAGAAGAAGAGGAGGAGGAGGAGGAGATGGGAGAGAATACGAGAGGAACACACACACGCACCAACACTAACACAACACAGACGACCCTCCAGTAAGGCGACACAAATTGCCTCACTCTCCCAACTCCTGTTACATATAAATCAGTCTAACCTTCTTAACAAATATCTCAAAGAATCACTTATATGAAACTAAACCAACCACGAATAAATATGTGAAGCGTAAGACTCTGTTTCTCTTAAGTCTCCAATATTAAAAAAAGAAAACACCCCCTCTCTCTTCTTTCTCTGCTCCCTCCCTTCCCCCTGCCTCCCCCTCCCTTCCTCACCTCCCTCTCTCTCCCTGCCTCTCCCTTCCCTGCTCCCTCTCTCCTTTCCCTGCCTCCCCCCCTCTCCCCTGCCTCCCTCCCTGCCTCCCCCTCCCTGCCTTCTCTCTCTCTCCCTGCTTCCCCCTCTCTGCCTTCCCTCTCTCCCTTTTCCCTGCCTCCGCTCTCAAGGCACAACAAAAAACGAACTAATAATAAAAAACATACATTAACTTCGGGATCAACAAAAAATACGGAGTGGGGAAAATTGAAACCCCCCAAAAAGACTCCGTAAACTACTGTAACATCTTAGTGTCAACAACTGTACAAGGAATACAAAAATCAACGAAAAATCCATGAAACTACAACGAAATATCCACGAAACTACAACGAAGAGAAATAAGAAAAGAAGAAGAATCAAGTCAAACACCGATAAAAGAATAAAACAAGAATAAGAAGAATGACGAGAAGGAAATGAACCGAAGGAGAAACGTGAGGGAGGAAGGAGGAGTCACAGCCCCGGCGTCCAGTGTCCAAAAAGAGTGAAGGCAGAGACCAAGTCAATGTAGACCAGGTTCCGCCACCTTTAATATCCACAAGCAGCTGCACCACCACCACCACCACCACCCATAAAGATGAGTGCTGGTTACTGTAGTGGTGGTGGTGGTGGTTACTGTGGTAGTGGTGGCAATGGTGGTAATAGTGGTGATTACTGAGGCAATGGTGATAACGATGATGATAGTATTAGTAATGGTGGGAATTTGGGTCATCATCAGTAAGCACCGTAAAATCATGATAACTCACATGAATTTGGCTGTTAAATTATTCCTGTTTTTTTCGACGACAACAAGACCATCACATTGCCATTTTTTAGGAGGACTGTGTTAAACCTGTTGAAATTATAGATAACTCCTATTAATTTACCTGTTGATTATAGATAACTCCTATTAATTTACCTGTTGATTATAGATAACTCCTATTAATTTACCTGTTGATTATAGATAACTCCTATTAATTTACCTGTTGATTATAGATAACTCCTATTAATTTACCTGTTGATTATAGATAACTCCTATTAATTTACCTGTTGATTATAGATAACTCCTATTAATTTACCTGTTGATTATAGATAACTCCTATTAATTTACCTGTTAAGTCTAGTGTTTAAGCGACAGTATACAGACGGGCATTGATAGGGGTCGGCTGGAGCCATATACCTAACGAGGGTAATGTAATGTAGATACAAGCTCTGACAGGTACGCATGGGGTAACTAGTAAGTATTTACCAGTGAATGTTTATACCAGGACAGACGGCAGCGGTAGTAGTATCAGAAAACATTATCTCTTGAGTTTATATTGTGTATATAGTGGGTTTATATATTATGTGTGTATAGTAAGGTTGCTTGTGGGAATTTATATATATTAGACCAGTTTGAGACGACGAATTGAGATGACGACTACTACTACTGCTACTACTACTACTATTATTTCCACCACTACTAATACTACTACCACCACCACCGTCATCACGTCACAACACCATCACTATAACCACCATAAACACCATCACCACGTCACAATACTGCTTCTCTCCCCAGACTACTGTAACTGTTTTAATCTCTTCATCCCTACCAGGATATAATTAATTAAGCCGGGGGGGAAGGAAATTTTCAACATATTTTCACACCTCCTTATTACCAAGTTCATGCATCATGCCGGGAGCGATGACACACGATCAAAAATAATAATAAAATAAAAAATAAAATAAATAATAACAAGTGCAGCTTTTTCCTCGTCATACTCCAAAAGGATGTAAACAAATAATGTAAACACGATAGTCAAGTAAACAGTCCACCATGACAAGAGGATGTGTGTGTGTGTACTCTCTATTATTGCCCCAGCTGGTCTAATGGTCTTTGCTGTGACTCGTGGCAACACCTTCAAGCATAATAACAATAATAAACAGTTGCGACAGATAAACAGACGGAGACACATATATAAACATTAAAATATATATATAAATAGATAAACAGCAACTATATATCCAGATGCAATACTTACCGTACACAGAATTAATAAACAACGATAGATGAACACAGCCCCGACGCACAAACAATATAAAGAAGAATAATAAACATAAAGACTGATAAACAAACATACAACAAGCTTTAAAACAGAGAGAACCAACCATTAAAACACACACACACACACACACAAGCAGCACGTGTTCGTTTGGTGTTTTCAGACAAACTAACCTACTCTGTCTAACCTTACACTGCTTGTTTTCTCTCTTCCTTTACAAACAAACATTAACTTAGGAAATTTATATAAATACGTCTAAATACAATGCAGAGGCTAATATAATTCGTCGTAAGCGAGACAGCTATATACTGTACCTATATATGAGTATATAAGACAATTATATAATAAATCTTGATGTGAACAAATTATGTGTTTCAATATGTACAGGGCGTCGTGACACAGTTTGACGCAAGTAAATATGTAACTCCACGCTCTTATATGTAGCTACAGTCACCCCGCAAACGTCCTGCCACCTCTTCTCCTGAACCACGAACCCCGAAATTCAGACTCGTGAATCCGAAGCATTTATGGACAGAATAATACATCGGTGTTTATGGCTTCGGATTCACGAATTTGGGGTTCGTGGGTGACTGTACAAGAGATGACACAGCTTCTGGGTATATAACTGAAATACATATGTCTCTCTATGTAACTCCAACATGTGTTTATGATTGTATACATATAGACAAACAGGCAGACATATACCTACATAAACATAGGCAGACATAAACTCACATAACATACAAAGCCAAAGCAGGACGTACATGTAGACACAGATACAGACATTCACCCACATGTAAAATCAAGACAGGACGTACACAGACATAGACAGACAGACAGACAGACAGACAGATAGACAGATAGACGCCACTTACCCTGACTTGGTGTGGTACGTCTCTCCCCTTGTTCTTAGGCTTGGGTCCTCTCTTGGCTCCCCCAGACTCACGTTGGCTGTAAACAAAGAAACAAAACAAGTTAGCTCACTCATATAACGTTCTGTAAACAAACAACAAATTAGTCCACTTATATAACGTCACGCAAACAAATAAACAATCAACAAATCAGTCCTTATAAATCGTTACATAAACAACTAAACCCTCTCATCTAACGCTAGGTAAACAAACAAACAAAATAACAATCCACTCCTATAACGTTATCTCTGTAAACAAATAAACAACGACTTGGTTCGGTATAACACGAATCCTGTAAACAACGAAAACTTTACACTGAACAAATATTTACTGTGACCAAAGGCTTTATTTTTAAGAGGCCATTATTACCTATCAGGGATTCAGAATTGCCACGACACTTTAATTAATCTCTTTGTACACATACATACATACATACATACATACACACACACACACACACACACACACCAACATACACACATACATAGTTTAAAATCCTCAAAGACTAATTATGTGAATGTATGTTTACAATATAGGATAACATCTATGTAAAGAAAGATATCGTACTCAAGGGGTTAAGATATCGTACTCAAGGGGTTAAGATATCGTACTCAAGGGGTTAAGAGATCGTACTCAAGGGGTTAAGAGATCGTACTCAAGGGGTTAAGATATCGTACTCAAGGGGTTAAGATATCGTACCCAAGGGGTTAAAATATCGTACTCAAGGGGTTAAGATATCGTATTCAAAGAGTACGAACTACAGTAATTCGCTGTGACCCGAAGGTTAACATAGTACAGGAGATTACAGTACCACTAAGTAATAACAAACTGTCATCACAAAAAATCACTTGAATAATCACCACAAATGAATAGCAACCCCACATGAACAACCCCCCCACATGAATAACCACCACATGAATAACTACCCCACATATATAACAACCCCACATGAATAACTACCCCACATGAATAACTACCCCACATGAATAACTACCCCACATGAATAACTACCCCATATGAATAACTACCCCACATGAATAACCACCCCACATGAATAACTACCCCACCTGAATAACCACCCCACCTGAATAACTACCCCACATGACACAACCCAACTGCCTTTCAACATAACACAACTAATCTCAAAACATTTATAGCATCTCGTCCATAATTTTGTTGACTCTTACCAAATGCGCCACGGTACTATTAAATTACCCTGCAATTGCAATCTCGCCGTGACTGCATTCCAAAAGGCGTGGTAGAGACTTTCCCCAGCCAAAACTTTCAGTAGTCAATTAAGTGAAAAGGCCTTAAAGGGATCCCACGTTGGAGCTTTTCACAGTGTCTGGAGGCTACACCACTCTGAAGATAAGTTGTATTTGAACCGATCAATATATTCTGCCAAGTGAGAGGGAGAGATGAGGGGGAGGTGGAGAGAAGGGGGTGTTAGGGGAGAGGGAGAGAAGAGGAGAAGAGAGGGGGGTAAAGACAGAGAGGAGGAGGAGGAGGAGGACAAGCAGGGAAGAAGGGAGTGGGAGAGAAGCGAGCCGGGGAAGAGCGGGAGAGAGGTGGAGAGGAATAGAGGACGATGACCGAGGGAGAGGGAAAGAAGAAGAAGACAACGAGCAGGAAATAGGAAGAGGAGGAGGAGCAGGAGGGAGGAAGTGAGGACGAGCAGAAAAGGATGGGGGAGGGAAGAGGAAGGGGAAGAGGGAGGGAACAGAGAGAACAAAACAATACCCCCTTACTCCCACCACCTCAACACACACACACAACCCGACGTCAACCTAACCCATACCCACACCAACACAAGACCATCCATCCACTGACTGACCAATAATACAGGTGTGCTCAGGTGTGCTCGATACATCACTATACCCACACCTGCACCAGTCAACAAGGAGACCAATTTCAAACACCATCTATGAACTAAGTCACCTTTTTCCTGAGTAATGTCCATAAATTCGTAAGATCACTATATCGAATGTATAATACCCAGTAAAATAATAATAATACTCACTAGGAAACACAGCCCCTTAACATATGCCTGGACGGACTCAGAAATCATAAGAACATTAAACTTGTATATAAAACCCACTGTGATGACAAACGTCTACTACAACTAAACCTTCCCCGGGTACATAAACTGTAGTGGGGTACCTAAATTGGCCATCAAATTTGTACTGCACCACAAAATTATTAAACCAACCCCGCCCTGATACAGACACCACCTGGGTAAATACTGTACCCGTATTTTATGTATAAATCTGTATTTTCTTCTTCTAAATAAACATCCTGTGCGTGAATCTATCCATTAACACCTAAATTATACTAGTAATTATAGCTCTACAAAATGTCAATACAAGTTTATGTAGAAGAAAAGCTTGTAAATGTGACTTAGCAATTTATATCATATTGCATCTACCTAAACTGTTATTTGTGTTGTCATAAAAAAGTCTGAAATCTACTTCTTAATTACGTAACCCGTAACAGCACAACAACGATATATCAGTATAAAGTTTCAGACTACAGAATATTCATTGCTACTGTATCTATATGTTGTAATAGTACAGTACTGTTTGAATCTGCTGTTTAGTTATATTTCAAAATTTAGTTTCTGGCTAAATTAAATCTACTAATACGGATATCTGTAACAATACTGTAATTATATTTCTGTACCAATCTGTATTATGAATAAATATCATCTATATTACATTTATTACATCCTGAAATACAACTTTTTTTTAATCTCAATCACAAATCCCCTTCCCCAATAAAATATTTCATCTCAGTAATTATTCCCGTTTCCCTAATCAAAAAAAAAAAGTTTCACCTGGCCTCGGCATTCATCAATTAATGCCGAGTGCCTTTATTTACATTCATTATACATGCAAGGATCCATCTCAAATTCACCAGTACGCGAAACTCTGCAAATTCATGTCAACATTAATCTTGTTCGAGATTTGTTCAAAATAAAATGATAAATATGAGGGTTTTTTTTTTTTTTACAGTGTCAACAGAGAGGCTGGAGGGATGCACTATAACAAGACAGGATGGACAACAGAGGTGACACTATATCTCTCTCTCACTGCTTCTGTGTGACGAGGAATATAAACTGAGAGAGAGAGAGAGAGAGAGAGAGAGAGAGAGAGAGAGAATAATAATAAAAATAACCTAAATAAAACAAAGGAGATACGAAATATGAATAAAACAGACGACAACAGTACAGAATAAAGTATTAGAGAAGGGCCACTGTACTTGAGCGAAGATAACCAGCAATTGTAAGAAATCAACAAGTATTTACAAACAGCAGGTGTGCACATCAACAACCCAAACAGGTGTACACAATAACCCAAACAGGTGTACACATCAACAACCCAAACAGGTGTACACATCAACAACCCACACAGGTGTACACATCAACAACCCAAACAGGTGTACACATCAACAACCCACACAGGTGTACACATCAACAACCCACACAGGTGTACACATCAACAACCCAACAAGTGGAAATATCAAACACACACAACAAAAACAAGGTCATTAACAATACACAACACCACAACAAGATCATCAACACAACACCATAACAAGGTCATCAACACAACACCACAAATATCAACACAACAACACCACAATTATCATCAACACAACAAAACCAGCAAGTAGAAACATCAAACACACACACACACACACACACACACACACACACACACACACACACACAAACATCCCCTACAAACTTCACTTCCAAAACATCATTTATCACCCACACTAAAACTCTTGAGACGAAAGGCAAACACATCAACATCATCAGGAGAGGAATACCAAGGAGGGGAATACCAGGGAAGGAACAGGGGAGAGGAATACCAGGGGAGAGGAATACCAGGGGAGAGGAATACCAGGGGAGAGGAACAGGGGAAATACCAGGGAGAGGAATACCAGGGGAGAGGAATACCAGGGGAGAGGAATACCAGGGGAGAGGAATACCAGGGGAGAGGAACAGGGGAGAGAATACCAGGAGAGGAATACCAGGGGAGAGGAATACCAGGAGAGGAATACCAGGGGAGAGGAATACCAGGGGAGAGGAATACCAGGAGAGGAATACCAGGGGAGAGGGAATACCAGGAGGAGGAATACCAAGGAGGGGAGTACCAAGGAGGGGAATACCAGGAGGAATAAGGGGGAGAGGAATACCAGGGGAGAGGAATACCAGGGGAGAGGAATACCAAGGAGGGGAATACCAAGGAGGGGAATACAGGGGAGAGGAATACCAGGGGAGAGGAATACCAGGGGAGAGGAATACCAAGGGGAGGGAATACCAAGGAGGGGAATACCAGGAGGGAATACCAGGGGAGAGGAATACCAGAGAGGAATACCAGGGGAGAGGAATACCAAGGAGGAATACCAAGGAGGGGAATACCAGGGGGAGAGGAATACCAGGGGAGAGGAATACCAAGGGAGAGGAATACCAGGGAGAGGAATACCAAGGGGGAGGAATACCAAGGGGAGGAATACCAGGGGAGGAATACCAAGGGGAGAGGAATACCAAGGAGGGGAATACCAAGGAGGGGAATACCAGGGGGAGAGAATACCAGGGGGAGAGGAATACCAGGGGAGAGGAATACCAAGGGGAGGGAATACCAGGAGGGGAATACCAGGGGAGGGGAATACCAGGGGAGAGGAATACCAGGGGAGGAATACCAGGGGAGAGGAATACCAGGAATACCAAGGAGGGAATACCAGGGGAGAGGAATACCAGGGGAGAGGAATACAAGGGGAGAGAATACCAGGGGAGAGGAATACCAAGGAGAGGAATACCAAGGAGGGAATACCAGGGGGAGAGGAATACCAAGGAGAGGAATACCAAGGAGGGGAATACCAAGGGGAGGGGAATACTAGGGGAGAGAATACCAGGGGAGAGGAATACCAGGGGAGAGGAATACCAAGGGGAGGGGAATACCAAGGAGGGGAATACCAGGGGAGAGGAATACTAAGGGAGGGGAATACTAGGGGAGAGGAATACCAGGGGAGAGG